GGCCCTTCTCTGGACCCCCTCTATGCTGTCCACATCCCTCTTGAAGTGCGGCGCCCAGAACTGGACGCAGTACTCCAACTGCGGCCTGACCAGTGCTGCATAAAGGGGGAGGATCACCTCTCTGGACCTGCTCGAGAAGGATCTGTGGATGCAAGTTCAGCTGTCTAACTTGCTTCAGTGTCTGCAGACTAGGCAGATTTCTAAGTTTTTCTGTAAAAAGGAACAGGATAGAAACACGATGGACCTACAGGTCCATCAGGATAGAAACTTGTTTTTTTAAAAATTCAACTATGGCCTAATTGTATCTCTCTAGGAACTGAGGAATTAGAGACCTATGCTTAGGACCCAGGCCTCAGCTCATGTTATAGCAACTCTTCCAAAGCATTATTTCACAAGCAACTTCCTGGTAACTTCAAATTCTAATCTGAAAACAGGTGTAAGGATTACCTGCAGTGTTAGCCCCAGGTCGTGTATTATCTTTTGCATGTACCTCATCAGTCTAGAAGAAAAAGAAGTTAAACTTTCATTAGAAACCGTTACTGTTGTGCACCTAAATAATCATGAGGTAACAACAAACATCATGTGTTATGTGCCAGGAAGTTCTGTGGTGCTCTGTGACAGAAAGCCCTAGTTCTAGTATTTGTAGTCCAAGATTAACAAATAGCTAATATGAATTCCATTAACTATTACAGATTAAGTTAATTGAAAAATGCCCATTAAAAGTTAGTAGACATTTTGCACTCATCTTCAGGTATTTTCCTATTACTAGGATAAAAGCCGTCTGAGATTAACGTATTACTGATTAGTATCATCAGCTAGAGGCAAAGTGCTTTACATTAGGTTTTATTGCAATGGAGGCCAACCTTTTTGGTTGGCCACTCTCACCACTTTCCCTTACTTGATCTGCTGCTCAGCTTTCTGCTCCCTGCCCAACCTGCCACTGTGCTGCACACATCTCTTCCCCAATCTGTCCCATGCCATAAAAAGCAGCTACCTGTGCCACTTTTTGAGCCCGTGCTGTAGGTTGGCCACCTCCATTTTGTTAGCCCATTGTACAGTTGGGAGAGCTGCTGGACAAGCTTTTGGGCATCAGATACCCTTCCATCAGGAAGATATGTCCTGAGGGAAGTATCTGACACGGTGAGATGCCCTGAGGAAGGGCATCTGATGTCCAAAAATTTGTCCGACAGCTCTCAACTATACAGTTGGTCCAATAAACAATATTGCAAAAAAGCCTTGCCTGTCGACATTTCCTGAACCATCATGGCTACAGCAATGCTCCATCCCTACTATTATCAACCTCACATACACCTCCCAACAAAGTGTTTTACCCTTAATCTGCAGAGTACTCTTACATAGTAAAGTATCATGCTTCACATTTTAGACAATGAAACTGAGGCATAGGAGGTAAAATAATTAGTTAGACCATAACAAAAAGAGACAAAACAAAGATCACTGGGATGACCAGAATCAGAATTAAATTCTAATTTTTTATTAGAATTTTTCTAGACTATAGTGCTTCTCAGCTATTGCCTAGATGGCAACTACAGTAATTTGAAGAGATAGGAAAGCATTAAAATATAAATGAGTTACTTGACATTCAACTTCCTTATATGCAAGTGGCATGCTTCTAACCATGACTAAAGAACACAAGGGACATTATAAACTATAGGCCAAAAATTTGTTCAGACGCGTAATTAAAAAATTTGTATTACTGTGCCAACAGCATTTATTTATTCTACATTTTGCATAGATCTATTTAAAACAAAACTTTCTCATTTTTCTCCATAAACAGTAAAGACTTCACTCACTTAAAAGTAAGTTTTGGTGAAAAAGCAAAGCAAAGCAAATCAGTTTTCCAGTATTTTTTTTTTTTTTATTTAAAGTGATCTCATCAAGCAAGCAACGAATTTCATAGTTTCAACGGCATTGATAAACACAGGGTGTGTCCCCCCAGTGGTTAGTTGTAGAGCTGCCAACTTTA